CTGCAGTAACAGGGCTCTCTTAGAGCACTAACAGATGATCACCAAAGGAACTGGCTTAGAGTTTAAAACTGTTCAACCAGCTCAGACTGCCTTGCAAGGAACAACTGACAAAATCCTTTCCAGTGCCCTGCTTTGCCTTCTCAGACAGTTTATGAATAATCTTAAGAGAAACCCTCTGAAGCTCCAGAATTTGTCACGTTCCCCTCCCCATATCCTACTTTCTTCACTTACAAGACAGTGGGTACCTATGGGGAGAGCAAGCTTTACTTTTCTCCAAGCACGATCATAAATTGCAGCAGTTCCCCAAAGCAAAAGACTTACTACTAACCCCATAAAAATGGAAATTTGACTCAGAAGAGCTAAAATAAGCTTTCTGCGATACGAAGTAACAGAGCTAGGATCCGGTTCTTGCTCAAAGGAATAGAAGGGTGGCATATTAATCTTAAACTATGGCAGCACTGTAGAATTTCAAAAACGGAAATGATACATGCAGGAAAATGAGGAATTTTCACTAGGGACTGTAATTCATATATTATGGGAGAGATTAAAGAATAATAAATTTTGGAAGGAAGTATTAATGGCTACATGGGGCACTGTGAACCTGGCATTCCCTGAAGCCTGGAACTTTGTATACTAAACACTAAAAATGATTTGTGCAGGAGCAGAAAACATTAGATGTTATTCTGACCATGACCGGTTACATACTGTGCGAAGTAAGAACTCGGCAAGAGAAAAAACTTCCTTTATAATTTAGAGATGAACAGATAGGATAATATTTGCCATTATGTCAAATCTAACCATCCCTGGGAAGAAGAAAGGAGGTGCCAGCACTTTGGATATTTCCCTTGCTCTCAGAGAAGGCTGACCACAACAATCCTGAAAATCATTAGCGATGCTGCTGTGCATTCACATGCATCAGCTTTCACCCTAAGCTCTTTACAAACCGAGGCAGAGAAGCTAAGTAAAGTGCTCACAGTGCAGCAAATGTCACAGCTTTGCCCTGGGTTTATAGCTCCTAGAGTCCTGCCCTTCTCTTGAGTCCATCATCTTTCCTGGTGTTGATAATGGCACCGTTTGACTTGCACGCTGAAGCCTGTGTTTTAGCTTTCGTGTTTGTCCATTCTGGAGATCAATTTTTTTGGCAAGACAAATAAAACCTCCATCCAAAGCAAGTTAAAGGTGAAAAATTTCCTGCATCTTAGCCAAATTAATTAGAAAACACCATATATCCGTACATTTTCCATAGTTATTCCTACTATGTTAGGAGGTACTCTGGGCAGAGAAGTGTGTGAGGCAGTAACCGTCTCGGAGAATCAGCACAGGACTGACCAGCTTACAGCTGTGCTGACTCAAGAAGTGGTCCTTCAAGAAGAGGCCCAAAATATTAGCTGAGGAGTTATGGGACACTTTCAGAGCCCGATGACCATCTGACTAGAGCTCTTGCCTCTCCCAGTCCCGTACCAGCAATTAATGCACTTCTGATACAACGAGAAAGAGATCTGCAGAGAGAAAAGCTGGGTGAAAACTCGTCCTGAAAGCTACCAAATCAGCCAGCACGTACAGTGCTCTCCTGGTGCAGGCCACAGCGCGTGTCTTTACGCAACTTCCCTGAGGTGCTATGTGTACCGTGTGATGCTGGGGTTACCTGACTTACTTTACTGAGCGCTGTAGTAAACGGTTGCACAAAATCCAGTGTAAATACCAGAGTACAAGCTACAGCTGCCCCTGAGGAGCTTTAACTTATGCACTATCCCATAAAACTCCCAGGTAGGGAAATGAGTAAAAAGTCTGAATGCTTTCTTATTCCATACCTCCTTCGTGGTACAGTATTCTGCACTGAATGTTTCCATTGTTCAATACAGACAGGGGAAATAAGATTACCTTGAGATGGAATATCCCATTTTCTCAGGCAGTATGTTCTCTAGCCAACTCAAGCTTGCCGCTTTGGCAGAGTTCAGGGCTCTCCGAAGACGGTGATTTTTTTGAAGGCTGACAAAGTTTGGCACAAACACATGCATTCTATGCCATACCCTACCCTCAGGTGTTACATGCAGGGCTAACGTTCTGCCAGAGCATAAAAGAACAGCACGTGAGAGCTTATTTTGCCTAACAGCTGAACTGTGGCTTTGAACTGTAGCTTTTCTTTTAACAGTATTAGCAACCTGGTCCCTTATTTCTCCTCCAACTAGTCAGTGTAATAGGCAACTGAAGAAATTTTTCAAAGCTAACCAATGCCATGTGGCACACAGAATGATTAACTACAGTCAACACTCTGGAATCTTTAAGGAGGAGAAACACAGCTTAGAGAAAATAGATGCAAAGCAATTCCTACTGCGGTTTGACTCAGAGGGTAACTTGCAAAACATAACCCTTGACTGAAAAGTCAGGAGCTTACAGTTCCAGGCAGAGCGAGTGCTGTGGAAAATCCTGAAGACAGCATAGCCAGCGTAACCACAGCATGTGAGAAGCAGGAGGATGCAGAAATGACCTACAGGAAATGTCTCAGTCACCTGTGCTCTGCAGACCCATGTCTCAGGAGTATTTTGTGTGCCTCAGCAGGTGGGGAGATGGGAGATCCTACACCAATTAGATAGGCCCCTTCTGCACGGCGCAGATGGAGGCATCTTCAGCTGAAGACATGCTCTTCTTCCAGCCGATGTACCACATTCATTTTTTGCTGATGCACGTATTGGTCAGAATGGGCAGGGCGTAGATGAAGAAAATGCTGACAGCGTGCCAAAGAGGTAATGGTGAAAGCTGCTGTAGCGAGAGCCAGCACATCACTGGGAGTGCAAGTTGGTGCTGGGAGAGCTGGAGAAGAAAGATGCAGTTGAGGTGGGGAGAGAGAAGAACCAGGCAGGGCTGGCTCACGATCTTTCTTCCCCAGGGGTAACTGCCTTCTCAAGCTGTTAGTTGAGGTTTTGAAGTCCTGTAGCTTACACAGAAGCAATCTCTAAGCCAGCATTGCTAGTGCAGGATTTAAAGCCCTGGTAGCCCACTACTTTCCTTTGCAAAATAATGCAGGAAATTACATGCAAAATCCTCTGCCTCCACTGACTGTTATCTGGATTGTGAACTAAAGCACTGAACATTATTGCTGGGCTTGTGGTTTCTCATGCAATCTTAATTGGGCCCCTTGTCAGCAGTCCACCACGAGGACAGTCTACCACAGATGGGTGTCCCTTGCTGTAAGACCACAGGATTATTTTTTTTTCTGTCCAGCTCCTGCCTCATTCAACATAAAGGACTATTGTTAAAATTGAGTCACCTGAATTTAGCTTCTGAAGACAAGCTCTCAAAGCACCTACAAAGGCATTGTATGTAATATATGATACAATGCACAAAAAATACTTCCTCCTGCACTTTTAGATGACTTCTGGGAATCAGAAATTAATTCTGTGTACTCAGTATGAATGTTTAAATATAACATAACTGCACCTTACCCAATATGTAAAGTAATCCCTGTTTTCTTATTTGCTGAATGTCTTTTTTCAGTGAAAAGCATGAATCTCTCTAATCTACCTAACCGAATGTAGAAATTGGTCCTGAAGATTGTGCGTATACTTTGTTGCTTGTGTGGCCAGCATTTTACAGGGAGACACAAATAACGAGCAATCGTGTTAACCTGGCTGTTGGAAGGAATACCTTGGACAGAAGAATTTTTAGATAAATCTCCACTGCACTAAAATTTCAGCAAGCCTCCTTTTAAATGTGCACAACACTCTCCAGTTCCAAATGTAACCCTCAAGGAACACATGCATAAATTATAATATATCCACTGGGGAAACCTCTGCAATACTACAAAAAAGGGGGAAATGCATTTTAGGGGACAGTCTGCTCAACTGTCTGCTTTTAAATACAATTTCAAATCAGGAATAATTAATGGCTAAAATTGTGGTTAGCGCTTAGCTATTATTAAAGAGGAAAAAACAAAAACAATTTCTACGTGCTTTCGTTACTGTGTAGAGAATGGAAAGGATTATCAGTTGAAAATGTCTGGTGAGCTTTTTTCTCTTAAACCTTTTGATTAAAGTACTTCTGTGCCTTGAATTCGAAGGCCTTTGACTGAAATAAAGATACCATGCAAACCTCTAATTCAGATATATTCACATACTACTCATCTACTAAAATAATCAAGCTAAGATGTCCAAGGAAGACTAGTATATCTATATGTACTAAGGTAGAAAGCGTTGTCTGCTCTTTAATATTATGTTAAATGTTACTGAGATCAAGACACATTCTGCACTCCATTGTAAGGGTTGGGAGATCACAGGGAAAAAAACCCTATGTCTTCTCCAAAAATACTTCTGGTCTAGCACTTCTGTGATAAAAATGGATCCAGGTAAATATAACTGTTGATACTCCCCTGAACGACACACCTGCCCGACAGACAAACTCACAGGCCACCCACAGGACTGCTCTTCATCACAGTCACTTAGGCATCCAAGCAGGAGCTGCTGACACAGTGCATCACTCCTTTTCTGGCACCAGAGCTGCCCTGTCCAAGCACAGCTGGGCTGTCCAGCATTGGCCGTTTTAAGCAACCTGGTGAGAGCATAGCCTCTGGGCAAGGCAAGCTTCACAGCTTATGCATGGGTCCTCTCTAAACCACTGAAATGCAAGTGGCCAAAGACCGAACCTGTTTTTCAATGTTGTTCTGTACTTCCCTGCTTTCTCCTCTGAGTGACTATCCTTCTGCCAATTCTGATTTGGCTGCTGCTTCTTCAGTGTTTGATGGATATAATCATGCCGACACTGGGAAGGAACATCATAGTCATTTTCTTCCCAAGTCATTTTATTGGCTTTGTTCAGAATCTGTTCGCAAATACAACAGTTCCTGCCACTTTGAAGCAGATGCAGCGTCTTTGCAAAAATGGGAAAATGCAGTCTCTAGGGAAAGTAATCAATTCACTGGTCAAATGAAAGTATTTAGTGGGTTCAGTAACTCCGTGTATGGGACCAGCTGTGCCAGCGGGTAGCAGCACACAGGCAGTACTCACCTCGTGGAGGTCGCAGCTCAGTGATGTTCTCGGTGGCTTCATCATCTGAATCTTCAGTTGCTACCACTTTGTACCTGTTGCTGGTCTGTTTGTTCAGTACATGTGGGACCTGCAGCGCAGCCTCCCTCTCTGCAGCCAGATCCAAATCCTGCTGAGCAAGGTGGGCTCTCAGCTGCCTGATTTCAAACTAGAGGAAAAAACAACACCACACACTGATGTCATATAAGCATGGCCAGAAGTGTATATTCTACAGTTGGGGACCTATTACTCATTTTGTCACTAAACCACTACAAACTGGTGACAGTAAATAAAATGAGGTTGAGCCAAGATGCGAATCCGAGGTGCTGATGCTCTCCAAAAGCCCATGTAAGCTGGACTATTGTTCACATAATCTAAACATAGTGACTCCCTCATGCTGGTCTTCTATTTTGTACATGTCTGCATCCTGAAGATATGATTTTGAACAATTTTTAACAGATCTAACTGCCAAATCAAATGAAATCTCTATAGAAGACCATTCTTAACAGGCATCTAGGGATTTAGGTTCATGACAAACATCCCTATTCTGCAAGACTTTGTACTGAGGATTTCTATGGAGGGAAGTTCTCTAAGCAGTACCCAGAATGGTCCTCCTCCACTAACTGGGCAAGGGGGAGGGACACCACAGCCCTCTTCCAGCTTGAAATCTTCTGTACTCAACAGTGCGCAGAAAACCCTGGGGAAGGTTGCCACTTTTCTGGCCAATCCCCTCAAGTACACAAGCCACAGCAGTTAATGACTTTCTGCAGCCAGGAGGGTATTTGCCTCCTGACTGGTGTTACAAACCAGACACTGACAAAAAACCAGAAGCTACCAGGTACCATCTGATTGATGGACACAGCATATTGCTCTCATGTGTGACAGCCACAGGTCTTCCACAATGCAAGAAGGAAAATAATTTTTCTGGAGAGGCTGCAGAGACCCTTTAAACCCTAAACAGGCACTACAAGATCCCACTGTCCTTCCCCTCTGCCATCCAGCACAGCTATGGGGCTGTGTAGCAGAGGGTTGCTCTTTCTTAAACTCTTTTTAATATCAGTAGTACAGCAGTGACCAAGTCACATCTAATTATAGAGGGGCTGAGAGGGAAAAGCAAATGAGGCAAATAACAGGCTAAGGCCTTTAAAACTTAGCATTGCTGGGCCTCCCATAGTTCAAGGCCTGAAAAGCCATCAGAAAGCATGATGCTACGGCGAGCCACACTGCACCTGTCACTCCGCATTTACAACAGAGATGGAATTAGCACCTCAGTGCTTGAAAACTGGTGTGTAACAGTATGTACGCTAAGTGAATCTGGTTCTGGCTCTTCCCTCTCAGACGCTGATTCAAATTACTTTGCTGTCAGATTTTGGAATCTGTCGTTGGACCCAGTTTGTTCCACCATGGTCCACGTCGGACACAGCACAAACCCCAGGCACACTGCAGAGCGCCAGCAGTTCCTCCAAGCCGTGTAAGTGACTGGAGGGGAAACAAGACAGAGTTTCCGTAGATTTTAGAAAGAAAAAAAAGAGGAAAGAAAAAGGGATTCCAGTTTGCCACATCTGGAGACTGTCTGCCTTCCAGAGCATAAGAAAAGAAACTCAGACTAACTTGCAAGGCCCACTGCAAGACTCAAAATCTAGAGAGCAAAAGGACACTTTAAGCTTTCCAGATCACATTCAAACCACCAAATACAGGGATGTAACAAAGCGCACACAGCTTCGTCTCTGTCTTGAAATCAGTGGTCAGAGGTCTGGCAGTTGCAGACAGATGGCTGCATGAAATGCACATTGCTCTTAACCAAAGGTCCTCTGGCAGTGGGAGCCAGAGGAGCCGGGTAGTATCAGCAAATGTCAAAACACAGCCCTGCTCCTTGAGTCCTTCAACAAAACCTCCGCGGCAGATCCCAGATGGTGATTTTTGTGTTAACCTATCAGCAAGGAAGAAGTAGTAAACTGGGAGTACTAACACTTTTCCCAGCCAGCCCTAAGCTTCCTGAGACTTAAGGTGCCCGTGCCATACCAGAGGTGCCAGTATGAATGCATCATTCAGCCGTGAAAGGACTGTCTGGAGTTCAAGTTTACAACACAGAGAATTTCAGGGTTTATCCTTGACTTGAAAGAAAAAGAAATCCCAAAATATCTTACATTTCACATTTAAAGGGAGAAGGATATCCTTTCAGACATTCCCTTGGTTTAAAGGAAGAAATGCACTCAAACGTGATAGGCAAAAAATAAATCTGGAGATTTTTTTTTAAAAATTATTGCCTAACCATAGCTACTTGCCTAGCTGAAACTAAAAGGCAATAAAAATTAGGCATCATTACTGTTTTTCTACATTTCATCCTTCAAAAAGATTCCTGTGTGTCAGAAAAAGAAATATTGCCACTAAAATGCTTAATTCTGGCCTAGAGGCAGGATATGATTTCTTTCTTCATGGAAGAGAAGAAAAAAAAAAAAAAGGCAGGTATTTTGTAACAGAAATAGACAAAACTACCTAAAAGTCAGCTCCGTAATTGTATTTCTGCATCACACCCAATTTAACCAGCTTAAGCATTCACAAAGATTGGCTGAACCTTGTAACAATCAAAAGCTTGAAGGGAATCACTGCATGTTACAGATGTTGAAAAGGAAGCACAATAGGTGATCTTTCCTGCCGCAGTGAACCTATGGCAAAAATGGGGGAAGAGACCAGACTTTCTGATGCCCACTTACATGTTCCAATCAATAAAGCAAGTGTTTCCAAATATCCACAGATTACTGTCAATCTTTAAAAAGTCCATATCCAGTCACCATCCAGTTTTTAATAGATGCCTTTATAAATGTTATTGCTTAATACGGCTCTGTGAAAAAGCTATGAACTACTCAGCCTGGCATGCTGGACCAAGCAGCAGTCTGCAACCATCGCTGGGATCACCATGCTGGACAGCTACACTTTGTCCAAACAATTCTTTTATTTCCTATTTATATGGGGAAAATTACTACCTTGGTTGAATCCCAACCACACAGACAGCATAAGAAACTGGAATCCACAGAGAAAATTACAGTTACTCTGGTGAACAGCTACCACTGCTGGTAACGTCAAAAACAGAAGGGGCTTTGCTGCCATCTTATGTTTGAAAGACAGAAATACATGCTTTTGCCTACAGCAGCAGAGGAAGCACCTGCTTATGAAGATCACGCAAACATCACATTCTAGCAGAAACTGAAACCTAGACCGATGTCTTGGCTCATGCAATACTTCCCTCATCCACTGCCTGAGGATGAGAAGGGTATGCAGGACCTGCAACGTTTTAAGTGATATGTGAACCCTCTTTTATTGCTAGCTGCAAACACAAGCCACATGCTTGTCTTATTTTCAGCTCTTAACACTGAGCTAGTTCGGCTGGTCTAAAATCCAGAACTGAACATGAGACTGTCAAGAGCAGATAGAAGGGTTGAATTCCTAGGCACAGGAAAGCAGCACAGTGCTCTGGACTTCAACATCATGTACAAGGTGAATAATAGCATACAGAGATGTTCAGAAAGATAACAGCAGAAACTGAGGTTGCTGCTGCAGCTGGTTAACACTTTTCCATTACCTCAGACGGTCAGCTTCCCGGTCCCATTCATATTTGCCCTGAAGTTTACGTAGTCATTAAAACAGTGAAAAGCTGGAATCAAATACTCTTATGTGTGTAAATGTCATTTTTTTATTGACAGAGAAGAGGGTATTCGTTGTAATAATGGTGTCTGTCTCACTCCCACATTCGCTGTTACTGACGCAAAGTGATCTATGCAACATGTTCCACAGAGATGCGGAACCATAACTGTAACAGACACGGAGTGCAGGACAGAGCCAAAACTCAACTCCATATACTGCTTCCAAATGCAAACCCATACTCTCTAAGTCTCTAGCATGTTCAAAAAGGGTCTGGGTGGGATGGAAAATCATTTATCATAAGGATTGATTTCAGAAAATGAAAGGACATTCAATAAAATATTGAGGAAAAGGTAAACAAGAAACAGAGATTTTTGCTCACAAAGTGCATGCATCTACTCAGGAGATCTGTTCAATATTAATTGTTTCCAATTCTTACTTAAAAATTATCCCTAGATATTGTAGAAGCCGGAATACAGTTTTGGCCACTAAAAGCAACCCACTAAAAACAAAGGTTAAGCCTAAGAGAAGTGGGTGTTCCTTACGGCGTAATTCAGTGAGAGACTACATGAGCAAATTATGTTGTAGGTGCTTATATCTATTGAACATTATATCGAACACTGACCTTGGGCAGCTCTAATGTGTAAAAGAGCTAATGAGATTGCTCTGACTGCATGTCATGCAGTCCAGGGCAGGTTAAATAAATCATTAAAAGGTATAAAATATAACAGTCTTTTAAAGTAAAAACTCTGGGCCAAGTTAAACACATGAAATTTCTATTTGCAGTAGGAGCTGATGTAGCCATCTGAATGTAGACCTGGGCCTCTCTAATACAGAGTACTGCAGGAGAGCTGTATTGAGAAAAACATGTTTCCTATTTTCAGGTAGACCACCCTTCCTTCAGCCTGTAAGGAAGGATACATATGATACATATCATGAGGGAAAGAAAAAAAGGCATATGAACTTACATACATGCTTTGACTTGTTTAAATTAAGACTTACTCAGAGGTATCTATGTTCGAGCCTCATAGGCTCTGCTTTAAGAACCTTGTAAATCCCACAGAGAGGCAGTGGGCAAATAACGCTGTTGTGTGGAAGACAACTTGTTGCGATCAAGGACACTACAGTAAACCATCTCCTGACTCAAGACAATTACAAACTGAGCACTGGTCCACTTGAGACTGCTACTGACATAATTTATCAGGAGACCTATGATACTCATTATCTTTAATTCCATATACTTCGGTAGCTTCTGGTGGTTCCTTTATCAATAAGTTCCTAACATACTCTGCAATGGAAAAAATATATTTGAAAACTTCATAGAATCACAGCATAATCTAGGCTGAAATGGACCTGTGGGGGTCATCTAGTCCAACACCCCGCTTAAAGCAAGTCCATTTAGCTCCGGTTGCTAAAAGTCTGTCAAGTTTTGAATATCTCCAGGGCTGTATATACATACCACAACGTCCCTGGCAATCTGCTCCTGTGTCTGACCGTTCTCCTAGTGAAAATGTTTGTTCTTATATTGAATAGGAATTTTGCACATTCTAGGCTTGTGTACTGTCACTGTGCACCTCTGAGAAGAGCCTGGCTACAGCCTTCCATGAGGGAGTTGAAGACAGCAATAAAGGTGTAATACACGTGGCTAATGTGAAAATACACTTATTACCAAGAAAAAGGGATGTACAGGCCATCTCATATAAGAATGAGTAACTAGATTCTCAGGCATGAAGAGAAAGTTCATTGATGGTAAATTTAAACTTGTTTAGTGTTTTTAAAATTTGTTACATGTCCTCTAATAGCACATCCTTAGCAATATTTTGGCAGGAAACAAACCAGAAAGAACTATGGGGCACACCTGTGTACTTCCTCACTCAGAGAATGCATTAGGTGATTATTTATAAGCAGGTAAAATGACAGAGACCTAACCAGAGCTCCAGATAACGTCTCAGTTTACATGCCTGGTTTTATAAAACGTGCCACTCATCCTATCTGACATTTTACAATATGCATGTAAGTCTCAAAAAGGGACTTAGCAGTGAATCATACAGTACTTCCCTTTAATGGTCTAGCAACAGAGTATGATTGACATAGTTTCAGAGAGATCAATGAACATTTTAGCCAGAAGCTTACTCGTGTCTAATGCAGGAGCAATAACTTTGCTCACTTCTATTAGTGCTGTCTGTAGAGAATGCCCTGCCCTAAAACTCATCTGCCACTGGGATACAATCCAATGTTTATTTCCATTAGTTTAGCCATTGTTGGTAACAATAAAAATCAGGAGACAGTTGCAAACTAATGATTTATGGGCAGAATGAAACACGGGATGACCTTGGCTGCCTTCCATTCACCAAGAAAATGACTGGTAGTTAGAAATAAATTAAAATTATTGCAAAAGGATAACATAAGTTATTTCTCCGATAGGTAATTTTACCAGCTAAATAGCCCTGTCATTAAACTAGCAGCTGTTGTACAAATTATATTTCAAGATAAAATAAGAAATTATAGCTTCCATAGTTGTTGCAGCTTTGAGAATGATGAAAAACCCAATTCTATAGGAGCTGACAGAAAAGGAGCTCTTGTGATAAGGCTGAATACATAGTCTTGGCTGGACTGTACTCAGCTGAATGAGTCTCATGAAAGTTAGGCAGAAGAGATCATGTAAGTAGATCTATTATTAGAAATGGAAATTCCTTTACAGATGATTCCTGAGGAAAACCACACTCTTCCCTGACTCGAATTTGCATTGTTAATGAAACTCTGGAACTTTGTTTTGCAAGTTACGTTATTCTGATAGAACAATGCCATCAGCAATTGTACGCTGTCCATATTTTTGATAGTAATCGCAGTGAGACTTTTTTACCTTTTACCTTTACCCATTCTTAGAAATCCCTGTTACTGTCCCTCATGGGACAGTACAGCTGCCCTGTACATGGAACCCTGTACAGCTGCCCTCAGACCTTTCAGTATTTTCTGCCTTGACTGCCCTCACATTCCACTCCCTTTTAGTGATGTCTTTCTTGGCCAATGGAGAATAAATAAAACAGCAAACTATTCAAACAGTTTCAGTGGGGTACTACAGAGAACAAAGCGGTGGTCCGTGCAACTGTAATTCATAAAATATATTCTGGTTTTCAGATGTATGGCTAGCCAAAAATCAACATCTGGAAAGAATTTTCCTGTTTGCAAAAAGTACATCTCCAATGTCATTCAGGAATGGAAATGTCCTTTATAGTTGTGATACCCTATCAGTGGCCAAAAAAATACACAATTGACAAAAGAAACAGAATTCAAAAAGTATGATGAAGGGAGGCTGCATCTTTCCTACTTTAAGTTTTTAAAAACAAGAACTCCATTTCTGCCTGTCAAGTGTTAAGTACCAGCTTCAAAACAGGAGGGCACGTGATTTCTCAGAGAAGTGGCCAACAATTATTTTTGTTTTAAATCCCAAACAAAACAGGCTAATTTTTTTTTCCAATTCCTCTTCAGAAATAATGAATATTTTGTCTGAAACTTTCAAAATAATTTCATCTGCAGAGGTTGCCAGACCTTGAGAATGTCAATCCCAATTGCCTGACAAGTGGCAAAGCAGTAAGAAACTGAACGCGGGATCTCAGAACTTTCTAACAGGAATGTTTGCAGCCCTGTCTGTAACTATTAAATAAATGCAAATCATCAGTGTCATCTCGGAGATGCAGCCTCAGGATGAATCAGCGTCTACAACCACTGCTGGGACGTAGGCAACCATAGTGGCTTGCCCATTCTTCCTAATTGGGCTGGCACTGGTGTGCCCTAACATCTGTCTGAGGCAACAGGTCAATCCCTACGGGCAGCTCCCAGCTATCCCATCTGCCCATGCCAGAGGTGATACCACACAGACAAGGCAAACTGGAATCTCTCCCTGCCGGTGCTCCAGATTTGAGAGCAGCCAGACTACTGTAGGCAACCCTTCACTCAAAAACAGAGACATGCACACTTAAAACTCCATGAACGAGCAATCCTTTAAAAAGTTCAGGAAAGACGATCAAATGAAAAAGCAAAAACCTGGCAGAATTTTAGACATTAAATACCATTAGGAGACATTTTTCCCACCAGATACTGTACACAATGTTAACGTGAATATTATAACGCTGACAACTTGTTCTTGACTGAATTATGAAGCTATTAATTTACAATGAAAGGATGCAGTATTTGTGTCAATATCTTATGTTGCTAACTGTAGCAAATTAGTACATTTACCTCATATTACACAGCTAAGACATTTGTTTGGCAGGAAGTCAGGACAGTAAAATAAAACAGATTAGCATGCTGTCATTTTTCTATAGTCTGTATTTTTCAATAGCTGAAGACACTTGAAAGCTAGTAGACAACCTGCTCTGTTTTCACAGATTTACTCATCTACCAATGCAGTATTTCTTTGTGCTTGATGTATAGCTACGCTGTAACCATCAGAGCTCAGATTAGGGCTACTATGCTCAGATGTTTTGTGAGCCATGCGCGCAGATAACGAGTATGTGGATCAGAAGGAAGAGTGGCAAAAGCTGCTCCTGAACCCCACTTGGGATAATGAGCCCACCTTTACTCAAAGACTATGAAATAAAAATACCAAAAATTGTTTAGAGATTGAGAGTGTTATCTGGCTGAATAATAACACTTCCTAAAAATAAGTATTTTCAAATTTATGACTGCTAAGAACTTTAGCCTAATAGCATGGTCTGACAAACAAAATACTGCAATGGGACTCAAGAAATTGCTGATTTGCTTAATGCATTTGGTCAAAGGATAATATCTCCTCTGTAAAGTGGCATATATACACCATTTCCCTGTTCATTTAACAACCATGACAGAAGCATGTATCGTTTAATATCATTGTGCAAAGTTGTGATGAAGAGGACTGTAGCTTTGCCACTGAAGATACTTACATAGTTGGAAGTAACTAATTTTTTGCAAAAGCGAAGCCTAAGATGTAGAAAATTTGTTATGGTTAACATGAGAGACTGTCAAAAACAGTGTTATGAAATGACACACACTGTCAACAGGACTTCCAAATTCATCACACAGACAAGGCAACCTAACACCACCAAGAGTTCACGGCAGAATTCTAGGCTGAGATTCAGGAGACCTGGAAATAAATCTAAAAAGCCATCTGGGGACCTGAATACTGATGGTTTCACAAGTATTTCAGGTTCCTTGGAAAGGATAGGCACCTAAATCCCTGCTTCAGATTATGCACCTGTGGGGCAGTTGGTCTGTTCTGTGACAAGTTGCCTTTCCTCCTGCCTGCTCAGGTCCTTCAACTTTTTGACAATTGAGCCATTCAGACTTACAGGTCTCCTCATTTTGTATTTGCAAAACACCTATGTGGGGTGGGAGTTGAAGCCAGAAACGTCCAGGATTTGTTTGGATACCTCATAGTTACTCTTATAACGGAAACAAGAAGTCAGTCACTTGGGGGATCATTCTGTTGTGGTCACCTGAATGCCCCACTTAGCCTGGGCCTCAACATACATCCCCAGTTTCTACTTTAAAGGCGGTTACTCAAGAACTTATTTGCATGAGACAAACTGCAAAAACTCCTGGCTCATTGCCCAAACAGTGGGTTTACACCTTTTTAATGTAAATATATTCATTTGAGGTATTTTAAGCTTCACCTTTCCTTACCTCACGACTGAGTCACTGCATATTTGAAAGCCTGGAAAGAGTCTTAAATCTCGACTTGCTTCCAGCAACTAGAAGCTTCTATTGCAACATTCTGAGTCTGCCAAAAGAGTCTCCGACTGACCTACAGGGAAGCTGCCTTCTGCATTTAAAGCAGGGAGATTCATTAGCTTTCAGCTGCATATACTTTTCCTCGGAATACAGCCTTAATATAGCTGCAGCTTCCAACAATGGCAACGACTTTTGCATGTTCCTGATATTATATCGAGCTATCCGTACTCATTCAATAAATTACATGCTGGAAGCATTCTTTTTCTATTCCTCACATTTGTTTTCCTCACCTTAAAAAACACAAGCACAGCAGCAGATGCAGACAACTGCTGTTTGACAAATATGCTGACAATATCCTGGCTGCAGCTAATACTTCCTTAACACTGAGACCTGTCACCCTACAACAGAAGTCCTAGTGATACTTCTCAAACCTTAGCTTGCAGCAAAGTACATGAACTGTTTGATTTGCCATGACAAGCTCTGCGTAAATAAAGACACAACTGAACTTTACCCCTTGTTCTTGGCAGATCTGGGTTAGTCTTTCCAGCTGCTCATCTTGAATAACCTTTGCCTTCTCATACTGCTGAATCATCATCTCCATCTCCACTTTCACTGGAAGGACATAGGCTGGAAAACACAAATAAGCACTTAGAGTAACCCAGCTGTGATTTTTTATTTTTTTTTTACTCAGAGAGAAAACCTCTACAGACCTTTGCAGGCAAAGAATGTCTAGAGAACTAGAGTATTTCTTATAGAAATAGCACTAGAGTATTTCTTCTGGAAAAGGATTTCTAACATGTGAAATGCAGGTCATCAGCAGGGTCTAGATCTTGTTTGGTCAGATCTCCATTTGCCTGGCTGAGCTGAAATGCATCCTGCACGCTCTT